CATATCGAGGTACTAGAAACTATGGACGCCAACTCGTTCATCTGTGCACTGAGACGGTTTTTCGCCATTCGTGGATCAGTGACGAAACTCAGATGTGATCGTGGCACTAACTTTGTTGGAGGAAAATCACAGATGGAACGAGCACTTTCGGAGATGGACCAAACACGAGTCCAGAAGTTTGTAGCAGAACAAGGTTGCGAGTGGATATTTAACCCTCCACACGCATCGCATTTTGGAGGCGTATGGGAGCGACAGATTGGCACTGTACGACGCGTTTTGGACGGAATGTTACTGGGGATTGGACGCGCACAGCTAACCCACGAACTACTAGTGACTCTCATGGCAGAGGTGACTGGAATCGTCAACAGCCGCCCTATTTCAGCAGTACCCTCTGACATCCACGAACCGCAACCACTAACCCCTGCCATGCTGCTTACGATGAAGACTCGCCCCCTAGCACCCCACCCTGGTAACTTCGTGCCACAGGACCTGTATGCCCGTAACTGGTGGAGAAGGGCACAATACCTGGCCGATCAGTTCTGGGTCAGATGGAAAAGAGAGTATCTGCAGAACCTTCAGAACAGATCGAAGTGGCAGAAACGCGAACGCAACCTCTCTGTCGGTGACATAGTCCTGGTTAAGGAGGACAACACAACCAGGAACGACTGGTCGCTCGGAAGGATTTCAGAAGTAACGCAGAGCACCGATGGCAAAGTGCGGAGTGCCAAAGTGACTTCATGTAGAGCGGGAAACGTGAAGACCTACGAACGACCAATTTCCAGTTTCGTCGTTCTACTCAAACGGGAAGACGAAGTCTAATCTTGCGGACAATATAATTTGATTCCACGGACTTGATTTATATAATGTTAACGGAGCAAGGATTTTCAATCCTTGGGCGAGGAGTGTTGTGAAATCGTATATTGCGTTACGCTCGTTTGTATTTTTGTTTAATTCGTTAATTTTTTACCAGTTTGACATATATCATTATTATCACAGTTGTCTAGCCTCGGAGTTTTTACCAGATCTTATCGGAGAGTACAAGGAGTTTTTTACGGAGTTATTTCATTCAGTTTTTTCCTATTTTGTTGTTCCTTTCTTATAACGTAAGTTCTTTTCCATTTTTGTCTTTCATTTTAGGTTTGTTTTACGCTCGATTTCCTTTTAATTTTAGTTATATTTTCTTGCGTAACGCGTGTCTATGTATGTTTTCAGTTCTCACCATATGCTTCATTGATACTGCAATAAACGAACTTTAATCGAGTACGGAGCGTGTGGTTGATCACAGCGAACTCCACCCGTGGGAACGCGACACACATTATTTTCTGGAGGAATTGTCGTTTGTGCTTACCAAATATTTCGTCTCCTGTGTTCATGCTCGCTTTTATTTTTCACTGCCCCTCATTTTCACCTTGCTGCACGCTAACATTTCTCATTGTCTCCCCGCCGCTTTGAATTTTCATGTTTTTCTTCCTACAAAATTCGTCTCTTTTGTTTTCAGTCACTCGTGAGTGTAAACATAAAAAATAATGTCGAAAAAGACACGCCTTTGTTGTTGTTTTTTTTCTTAAAGTCCGGACGGCCATGCAATTTCTTTTCAAATAAAACCTTGAGTTGCATTTCGGTTGCATACATGTTGATTGAATTATTTTACATTGGTATGCCTGTGGTGCGGACGGACTCTCGGGCGGTCGGTCGGTCGGTGTACGGTCACGTGATTACCACATATTCTTACCCATGGTGCTCCGCTGCGCTCACTTCGCCCGCGAGGGCTCGGTTAAACGGGCAGACACACAACGCCAAAGACTCCTATGCACCTATGATCTGCCCTTTCCGGTAATTCAGGTGAAATTGGAGATGAAAAACATGTTTTTTTCTTCTTCAATCTTTTTAGTAATATTCGCCTACAATCATGGAGGAAAGTCTTGGGACACTCTTGCGTTTCTGGGGCGATTTCCAGTTCAGACAGGTCCAACCCCACCCCTCACCCCACAAACAATGTTGGACGCGTGTATCCAGATTTTTTTCCAAGTTTCAACTTTGTATAGGGTGGGGGGGAGGAAGAACCGCAAGAAAATTTCGAAAAGGATGCACTGGTTTAAGAGGGAACCGAGAAATGACAGAAAAATATGAACATTGCTGTACTGTCCCAAGGACTTTTGTCCAGGATTGTAGATACTAGATTAATTACAAAATATCCTTTTTTCAAAGATTTCAATCTCGACTCAAAAACAGTCTTCCTCTTCAATAATGCTGATCCCTTTGTACGCACACTTGTTTCTGCTTTTATCTTTCAATTGATGGAAATTACACATGAAACCTCTTTCATAACAAACTGATATACACTTATGATCTTTTATAACCAATCTCATTCAGTATTATTGCAGTTTCGATTAAAAAAAACTGTTGTTGCTGTTATTGACAGTGTCTGTAGAAAGATGATCTACTTGATTCCATTTAATGTATTGACCAAAGTTTTATTTATAATGGCCTTCAAATGTTCAGCCTCTCGTTTAAATACTACCTTATTATAGGAAATTAACGCTCCATGAAATTAAGGTATTGGAAATTAACGCGACTTAAATTAACGCGAATTTAATGCAAAACGACTTTCGAATAAAGAAAATTAACGCGAAGGAGGAGGTAGAATTTCAAAATGAAGGAAATTAACGCGATTAAGACACAGTTGGTGGTGACAACTGGAACAAATTTATTTCAACACTGGATGCAAAAAAATTCAAAACTGAGCTGACATCACTTCTGACAACGACAAGGATGAAGATGAACTCGAAATATCGTAAACCTTCGCCTTAGCTTTTGTGAAAGATGAAAAATAAAGGGTAAATGGAAAGAAAGAAAGCTTGTTGTTAATGTCTTTTAGGTGTCAAGAATGTCTGGACAGGTTCCAAAATTGGGGTTAAAAGACTGGAAATTAAGAGCGCGGAAATTAACGCTGCACTTAATTAACGTAGCGGAAATTAACGCTCAAGAAAATTAACGCCACTTAAATTAACGCGAATTTTAACGATCCGCGTTAATTTCATGGAGCGTTAATTTCCTATAATAAGGTAAAATACGTGTAACAATGCTATGTTTAAGTGGTTTTGAACTATATTCTCGTTGGGTGCCCCTGTAATATTTACGCTGTTTACTGCGCAGTAAAATTAGTGCTGCTCTGAAAAGGGTAGGTAACATGTGATATTTTCAAAGAAACGGTTCTATATTTAAAGTGAAGATATTTAAAGAAAACGGGTTCTCAGAGACTTTATTAATTCTTCTTCAAATTCGATTTGTTTGGAATAACGGAGCCCAGAAACATTTAGTAAGTATTGATGTCAAGGTGCCCAGTATGCGGACAGTTTTTTCTTTGCTGTACAGAATCGATGAATTAGCTGTGTACATTATCCGGATAAGATTTATTTCATATCTATAACTATAATTAAAGCTTAGGATATGTGATATGCGGCGGAGTTGAACCTGGAATTCTCATACTTTCCCCAGTTGTGACTGCTAGAATGGGGTTGCAAAGGTCTGAAAAATGTCAGAAAGGGATTGAGAGATGTGAAAGGAGGAGAAATTAATGCTAGAAAAGCTGGCTTATAGTGGGGTCTTGGGGTCTGTAGGGCTGAGCATGAAGAAATCACTGCAGGTCAGACTAAATAGGAGAGTGACCTTTGACCGTCGCATTGAGGTCCCTTCCCCAAGTTTTTTTTTTTTTTTTAATAAAAAATGAAGAAAAAAAGTCGTTTGCAGATTGGCTAATTGAGCTAGCAAACCGCGGCTTCGGCATGTCCACGGATGCCTTCCTTAAATCAGTGAAAAAGTTCCTAGACTAGGAGGTAAGAATTATGCCATTTAACAACCGCTCGCGTTCCCCACCATACCCCAGTCATTTGTTACGTTTTATTTCACGATGCTAGGTTATATTTTTGGAATCGATTGCCAGACTACTTTGCAAGTGCAAGAGAAGCTTATAAGTTGCTTGCCTGTCGAAATTTATGTACAATTACGTTGTTATTGTTGTCTCTGGATACTGGGCCAGCTGTCAGGATACTGGGCAACATAGGAGCTCTGTAAAAATATTAATTTCGCGATGGAAACAAAGGCAAAAAAGGTAAACTGTCTTTCGTCATATTAAGGACTAAATAGATTTTCTCTGGGCCAAATTTCAGAGCTCTTGCGACTAACAAAGGAAAGTTATTGCAATGTTAAACTGAAGTGTCCGGATACTGGGCCGGATACTGGGTAACATACTGTACTGGGTGTGGCGCGTGGTGCGTCTGGCGGGATCCCAATGAAGCATGAAACTCTGAGTAGCAATTTAATGTCTTGGACAAAATAATCCAGGTCTTCGACTACATTATTATCTATCGCTCTAGTTCAGCTATTGAGCACTCTAATAGCCGATGAGGATTTCAACTCAATGTTTGGTTATATTTAATTGTTATATATATTGTTTAAATATATATATTTTTTGTTTTATTCTCTTGTTTACTTCTTCATCGCTTTGCCGTAAGGATCAGTTTGCCGTTTCATATTTTTCTACAAGTTTAATTGTACTGATCCAGGTCTACAACTGGGAGATCCGACAATGGTTTGTTGCTCTGGACTTGCTGACATTTTATATACTTTACCGTAGTGTCAGCCTTGTATTGAGTTTCGTTTCAAATTACTATGTGTTTGCGTTTTGAGGCTTACTGCTGTATTTCCCTCCAGACATTAGTACTTCCCCCCCTTTTTTTTTGGGGGGGGAAATGCCTCCCCTCCCTCAGACCCTAAGAATTCGTCGTCGATGGGGGAGATCAGTAGCGCGTGCGTTGACGAATGACGTGACGAAAGTGGAAACGTAGGTGGTGATATCAAGTTTCTTTGCGTATTTCCCTTGTTGAGCAACTTACAAATGCAGTCACAGACATAATTAGTCCAGATACTTACAATCTTTTCGCAATAATAGAGCCTAGCTTGTAAATTTCATTTTCAAGCGTAGTTCTCCAAGCTGTTCAATGGGGGAACGTGTAAAAATAGTCAACGAATATCTGACGACAATTACCTCCATTCTATCGTTCTTCGGAACGCTTTTTATCATTGTTTCATATTTTTTGTGGAAGGACATTCGAAGCAAGTCCAGACGAATTTTGGTTTACATCTCCATAGCAGACTTTTGTACCGCTGTTGCCACTGTGGCGGCAACTGCAAGTTTTTGGTTGACAGGGTCCGAAACCAAACAAGTATGTTTTATCCAAAGCATTATCGGAACACTATCGGTCTTGTGCTCATTTTTCTGGACAGCATTTATGGCCGTGTATTTGTACTTGAATGTTTGCAAGAAAACTTCCAGATTAGCCAACAGATTACTTTACTTCTTTCACATGTGTGGATGGGGTGTTCCTGTTGTAATTGTATCTATCGGTGCATCAACTAACAAGTTGGGTAACAATGGTGATCAAGTCACGTCGGGATGGTGTTGGGTAAATAAAAACTTGCCTTGGAATGAACAAGTCCTATGGATGTTTTTGGCTGGAAAATTGTGGGAAATAATGGCCTGCCTCGTTATAGTTCTTCTTTATGGCTTATTAAAACGGAGTATGACAAAAAAGGTAAGTTATAATTCAGTATGAAATCTTTGTCGTGCGTGGCATGGATCGCTGGGCAAGTTCTGATTTTTTCTGTTTTATTCTTGCTTTTGTTTTGTCTTTTAATATTTTTCCTCTTGGTGTTTTTGCCCTTTATTCCTACGGCTGGACCTTTTCCTGAGCTTTGCGAGGTTCTGCCAGACATTTCTATAGTTTTTCATAATTTTAATTGGTAGATCATTTTTCATTTTAAAACTTTTTGCATTGTACAATGTTGAATAACACCTCACCTTTGTAGTGCAATAAAGGCCTCTACTAAATCTGCCAATAAGTGAGTCACATTCTCAACAATGGATTCTGACTGTAGTATTCTTGAAGACCCTTGTTGAGTTAATTGCTCTGCTCTCAGTTCTCTTTTTGATGAAATTTTTGCCCCATGAAAGGGGATCTAAGACAGTCTTGGACTCTGGATTCTACATCATGGATTCCGGATTCAAGGTACTGGATTCCAGTCAGTCAGTGAAACGTTACTCTGGATTCCAAACGTCAGTGGGATTCTGGATTCTTTGAGCTGTATTCTGGATTCCAAAGCTCAGGATTCTGCATTCCATGAGCAAAAATTTCTTGGATTCCAGATTCCTTAAGCAAAAATTTTGCAGATTTGGGAACTGAAATTACAGTCCACCCTTTTAATGCAGATGATTAATCATAAGATTTGCTCTGACAGAATTTAGTGTTAAAATAATGCCCATACCTTAATTGGGAATGACATACATCTTTGTTATAATGCAACCTTTTTATCCTCAGCTAACTAAGAAAGATGGCCTTTTTACCCGAAGCACCAAAGAACAGGCGCAAAAGGCAGAAAGGAAGTTGATATGTGTCCCCTTGATATTTGTCATCTTGCGCAGTTGGGGGACAATACGGTTTCTTCTTTTGATTGCAAAAGGCCCCGACTACAAGTCCCAGGTTGATGATTGGCTACTAGTTTTACAGGTCAGTATTATAATATTCTTATCAAGCAGTTGCAATCATATCATCAGAGTGTGCACAGCAAGTGAAGCTTGAAAGTTTAGACATAGGGCCAACAAAAAGGGAACATTCACCGCTCATTCACAGTAAACATGATCTTCTCCAAGAATGCACACCTGTAGACCCTATTGGTTTGAGTTCATTGGTGGATTGACAACTTGTCAATAATATTCAGTAAAGTAGAATCCCCTTAGTTTTTTTTTAATTCCCAATAATATGAACCAAACCTAACTTCCCTTCACCAGACAAAGACCATTATTTTACCCCTGATATTTCAAACTTTCCGATAATTAGAAGCAATTTGCTTTTAATAGGTTGGTTTGAAACATCAGGATTCAGCTGTATGTTCAGGTTCCAAATTTGCTTCGAATACACACACTGGAAACTCAAGGATATTTGTTTGGTGGTTTGATAGGTGCAAATTTTGTACAGATATTGAGGGTAACAAAGGTCACATAGCTTAGAGCAAATCATTGCAACTTCATCATACCATCAGGAACTCTATTGCTGTACAAACAGAGGTGTTGAGAACCTTGGATAGTAGATGAAAAGTATGTCCTCTGTCTTCGCCACCCCCACCTTACATTATTTGCTTCTGCCTTAACTTTTTAGTGGGAATACTGATTGCTACATAGGCTGGTGAACCTGAACTGATCATATCGGTAAAGGAACAATCAAGATCACTAAATCTTTTTTGCCTTGAAAAAATCAAAAGAGCAAGTGAAGTCCCTTTCTACCCCAGGGGCCCCACTTACATATTTTAATGACAGGGGGGTCCGAAGGATTTTTTTGGGTCTGACATTTTGGCCAAAAGGGATTTTTTGGGGTCTATGAAAGACGCCAGGATTTTTTGGGGTCGCGAAAACAACAGAGGGATTTTTTTGGGTATTGTGTTTTTCATCAGCTCAAATCAAAAATAACGTAAGTGCAATTTATAGTTTTGTTTTTGACCAAAACCAAAGTTGAAGTTGATATGTTTTAGCATTCCAGAAGTTAAATAATAAAATTTGCTGATGCAAAAACACTGAGGGATTTTTTTGGGTATGCTAAAAAAAGTAGGGATTTTTTTGGGGTAGACAAATTCTGAAGTTGGGATTTTTTTGGGTATAAAATGTGAACCTCTGTCGGACCCTCCCGTCATTAAAATATGTGAGTGGGGCCCCTGGGCTTTCTACCCTGCAGGGTGTCATTCGTTAACAGGTATTGGGGGATGGGGGATGGGTTCAAGTGTAATCCTGAGTAGCTATGATCATTGAGCAAAGAGAATATAACTAAACACCAGTCTCAGTGAGGTGGGTTAATCCTAATTCTGAGGTAGA